GGCATATAGGGTGATAAAAGTTTAAAGAGGAGGAAAAATACCTCAATGAATTATTGAATTAAGTGCAAAGTGTATTTTCCTCCCAGTCCAGCCTGATATTAAATTTTAATCTGCCATGTAGGGATGAGAGATTCCTCTTGTACTTTGTTTTCAGGAAGATTTTGAGGGGAAAAAAAATATAGTGTCAGTTTATGCTTTTTTTAAAAAAAAAAGCATAAGAAAAAAACATATTTTATGGTTTGTTTTTTTTTTTAAAAAGCATAAAAAAAGCATTAAAAAGTCCAGACTTTGTCAGAGAGCAGACAGCTGAAGACATGTCTGCAAGAGCTGTGTGGGATGAGGGGCGCAGTTCAGTAAACTCTTGTTATTCATCATCCAAAGAACTGGAGGTAGGCGGTAACAGTCCACAGTTGTGAATTCTATGGAACAGGATGAATGGTTTTTCCTCTCTCTGCACCTAGGGGATCTGGAAAGCACCAGGGGATGTCACTTAAATTGAAAAGCTGTTTGACTTCTGTTTTGCTTACCTCCTAGAAAATGTTGTGGGAACCCTTCCCACAACATTGGGGGGAACCAAGGGGGAACCCTTCCCTTCTGCTCTTTCCCCTTTATAGTTCTGGAGTTTCTCCCTTGAGCAGAGCTTTGGGGTGAGAACATAGGCTGCTCTCAGAGTGGGGTTAGAGGTTGACTTGAGAGGATAATATGGTTTTTCTGAGTAGGAGGAATTAGATAGAGGATAAAATAGATGAGGTGTGACCTTGTGAAACCCAGCTAGCAACACTACAATCTCAGGCAGGACAGTCATTGTATTTCTCCTCTCCCTTTGAGATAACATTTCCCCACTCTTTGAAAAATGTTCTTTATAAACGCATTGCAGCAGAGATGAAGGAATGTTATGTTCGTTTTGCTGGAGAATATTTCTTGTAGAAATAATGAAACTGAGGCCATGGATATGTGCATAAATGGCATGCATCTGTGCACTGACCTCTCTGGGTTGCTCCCAGTTTGATTCCAGCAATAGTGCTTTGGTCGTTGGGGAATACTGCACCAGAGCTTGAAACCAGAGACTTGGTAAGGCACAGCATCATGTGGGTGTGAAAGTTTGCAGGACCATAGTCCAGAGGAAGAACATCTTTTGGTGCTGATGCTTTTCCATGTGAAAAACAGTCCTAGAAGGCACCCTTCTTTGCATGAGCCACGACTTGCCATATAGCTGACTAAATTTCTAAGTGCTTGTATCTCTAAGCAGACTTACTTGATTTCTCATACTTTTAAAAGGTCATGTGGAAACCTTGTGAGTAGCTGACTGAAGACAGAAAGTGAACAAGAAGTGGTGTCAGCGCTAGGGAATTGCCTGCTGTTCAGATGCCCTAACACATTCTGTGGTATAAGGGAAGGATACACATATGCAAGTGCTGATCTCCAGCCAGGGCAGAAGACAGTGGGATTGATCTGACAATATCCTATAGACAAATCCTGTGAAGAACTGAGATATATATATGTAAAGCAGTCCTGCCGTGTCATGAAGTGAGCTGCCACACTCGGGAAAAGGTCCTTTCCCTAGTCACTTTTGTTACATGAGTACCAGCTTTGTTGTCCTGGTCCAGACCCTTCATTCCTCTGATCTGCTTGCAGATGAGCTGACAACCTTCTGGGGCACATCAGCAGTTGCATGCAGCTTTGCCAAAATGTGTGTTAGCCCAAGCAGTGCTCTTTGCTGCTGTGGCCCATCAGCTTCAGGCAACTGAGTTAAGTTCATATGAACCCCCATCTAAGGATTCAATATGGATGTACTCACGCTGTCCCTCAAGCCCTGACTTTGGTGTGAAGTCTACCAGTGCCAGTCTCCACCTAACATTTCTGTTAATGATAACTGTGGTGCTTGTCTGCTAGCTTGTTCTCTGATTATGAATGGCACAGACTGCTTGTAGACTGTGTGAAGCACCCTTTCCTTGTAATAATTTTAAAACATAGAAACTTTTTTAGTAACACCTTGTTTTCCTGTTAAGAAAAAGTGTAAAAGTAGTTTCTAAGTAGAAGCTTTTAGCCATCTGCATTATACTACTATAAACACTGACTCGCAGCTCACAGCTGTGGTTTGTTTCTACAAGCCTGGGAGAAGCTAGGCATCTCCTGTTTGGACTCCCACTGGGGCTGGAGGGGCTGCCCTCAGTGAGCTGGAAGTGCTGAGGGTTAGGAGATGCTTTCTGAAAAGTAGAAGCCGGTATTTTTCACATAACTTTACAAATCCCACCCAGCAGCAACCATGGAGCCAGAGTGATGACTATTTTGATTTCTTATGGCAAGTTTATACAATGTAATAAGGATTTGGCAGAATATCAATTGGCTAATTGTGTCCTCAAGTTGTGTAACACCACTTCACTGGCCAAACTCAGAATTAAAAAAAACCCCAAACCTGCAAAGGCAACTGGAAAGCTCTGAGTTGTTTTCCTTTTTCAAGGATATATATGACCTTGGGTCCCAACAAATTGGGAAATATGTTTGGATGACTCTGACATCTTGACATGTTTCTGCCAGTCTGCTGGAGTGAAGAGGGATTCAATGTAGCATTGCCCTCTGGGTGGGATGCACACTGGGTATTTGGAAGGTTTTGGGTTCTGTTCCAGACTTTGATTATTTTTGGGGGGCAGACTACTTTCTTGTTTTGTGCTTGTCATTGCTGTTTCTGTTCTGCATGGGTGTATTCTCTCACTTTGCATTTTAGTTCCTGCCCTGGCGCCTCAGTCTTGAGGTGGTGCCCATGTTGCAGGGCAGAGGCACTCAGCAGCTCTTGTCTGATGGCTGCACTTCCCCAGGGTCACTGTGTGCCCAGACCTCACCAGAGAGGGCAAAAGGCAAAGAGCTCTAAATAACCTCTAATGTGTTTGGATTTTTGCTTTCCCTGGGACCCCTGCTTTTGCAGAGCAGGTGCAGCAGCAGACAGGTATTTTGGCCTGGGCTGGCCTCTGTCTTCTGTTTCTTAGTGAAAGCAATAATGAATCATGGGCATGTGCCATCTTACCAGATTCTCACTCTCTTACCTTCAAACTGAGAGCAGAGAGGTTGTGCAGCTCTGTTGGGCAGCACAAGGAGACCTGCAATGCATTGAGCCACTGTGGCCTAATGCAAAGGTATTTTTATTCCTTTCAGCTCATGTTGGGCAGCTACAATTGTACTAAGAGCTGTTCCTCCACAATTCTCTAGAACATGTCTCTCTGGGGGTGGTGGTGGAGAGGCTGTTTTGTTCTGACCATTTCTGCCACCAGACCAGATCTGCCTTCATTAACGGATAACCAAATCAAACAAAACCTCCAACCTTTCATTTAAAAGACTGCAGCAAACGACGCCAAGGTCATACCAGTCTGCAAAGCTGACTGACTTTGCAGCTAACAGTCTTACAGTAAGTTAATAAGGAAGCTTTTTTGTTGGCTTCAATGCACACAAGTTACAAGACATATGGGGAAGTGTTTTGTGAGTTTTTTTCTTTAAAAGGTTGAACTACTCTCTCATGTACTTACATTTATATGGCTGTTGATATGCTTCTGATGTATTGATTGGTCCGAGTTTTGCTCACAGGTGAGAATAAACAGCGTTTTTCTATATACAGTACAGTGAAGAAATGAACAAAGTAATTGAGGGAGTCCTGTAGGGCTTCATCTCTTTTCTAAGCCTGCAGCGTTGGTGCAAGGAGCCAGGAACTCAGGTAAGGAAAAAAGATGTAATATCTGTCCCCCTCTTGGTTCCTTGGCAAGACTGATTTCTCTGTCTTGAGTTTTACCATATTTTGGGTTTGTTTATATTTAAATCTCTGTGAAAGGCTTGAATAATAAGAATATGACTAATACGAATATGACTAATATGAATATGAATAATAAGACTTGAATAATATGAATTATTGTGTAAAAAGTGCTCTGAGTTCTCACTATGACAGCTGTGTGAAGACTTACTGCCTTTCCCTACTCAAGGAGGAAGCAATGTTTTGACTTGATGCAATTTCATTTTTCTCAGCAAGGTATAAAAATCATAATAACATACATGGCTAAAAGCCTAAAATAGAAAACAATTGCACATTTCATTTCAAACTTTTCAAAATTAATTTTTTTGGAGTATTGTTTTAAAATACTTTGCTTTTAAAACTTCCTATTGGGTTTTGGTTTTTCTGAGGCAAAACAAAATGATAATGTTCTGCTCAGCCTATCAAATCTAGCGTTGATTCAATCTCATGATAAGGGGCAAAAATCTTTTGCATTTTTCAATGAACAAATAATTTGTCTGGAAAACATTTTTCAAGTTTACTAAGCATTATTACTTCCTAAAGACTGCCTATAACCTTCTGCCTCATCAAATAAAGTTTGATTGACCACTGGAGTGAGAAATAGGTTAGCTCTTCTGTCTTCAGCTTTTGGCAGAAAATTCAGATAAGGTTTGAATAGTGATGGTTTGTGGTTTAGACAGGCTAGTCAAAACTAAGAACAAAAAGCTGAAGGAAGGATTCACTACAGCAAAACGCTTATGCAAAGGGGGTTTATAGGCATGTGAAAATCAATTCGTTACAGGGTAGTAGATGGGGTCTACTTACTCTTAAGATCCTGTTTGTTGCTTACATGTTTTATGGGAAGAACTGTCTCATGCCTTTATTGTTATTCCTAGAAAATATTTTTTGAGAATACTTCTAAGCAATGAAGAGCAACAGCAGGTCTTTATTTGCCACATTCAAAATCATTTATAAGCAACTCTTAAATAAAAATAATGCACAGTCATAATTAGGACTCTTGATAAATAAAAAGCCATTGTGACTTCTGGTCCTTAAAGTATTAACTAAATCACTGATAAATGTGTATCATGCATTATTGACCCTTTCTAGGTACACTGCTTAGTAACTTCATGTTGTGAAGCAGCTTTATAGGCTCTGCGAATTAGAAGAGATGTCTCTCTAAGGATACAGGCACAACCATAAGTGACAGTTTCTTGCATGTTTGTTACCTGTCCATGTGTAGTAGATGGACTCCTTCACTACCGACAAGACTATGTTAACACACCTGATCCTGCTGAGCCTGGTGATTGGGAGCAGCCAGGGGTGCTACTGTGAACATTACCCATGGGGGTCGTGGTCTGCCTGTTCACAAACCTGCAATTATGGCACACAGACCAGGCACAGGTAGGGCCAAACTATTTCACTACTTCTATGTTTCTATTTATTCCCTTAGAAAATACAGCTTCTGGGGAGGTGGGGGGGGCTTGTGCCTGAAGCTCCAGCTCCCATAATATACTGAGAAAAATTGTCATATCCCAGTGTTTACCAGATGAATAAATTATATTTGAATTGCAAGATTTATTAATTGCAAGATTATGTATACAGAACATTATGGTACCTCCAAACAAACCTGTATCTGCCAACACATGTAGTGAGAACAGCCAGGTCCTAAGATGGCCTTGCCAGCAGCGTGCATTGAGCAACCGGCCCCTGTGAGCACACGGGGCCAGCACTCAGTGCCTTGCTCTGGGAGCTCTGCCCAGTGCAGAGCAATGGCATGGGAGGGGTGAGCTTCAGCAAGGCAAGCCTACAGAAAGTTCCTCCCTGTATAATCAATTTTATGACAACAGTTAAAGTCAAATAAAGATTCAGCAGCACCAAATTAGATGCAATTCAGTGGTATACTCTAAAATTGTGAGAAATCCCCTGTTTCAGTGGGGGGTGAATCCTGGCTCTTTCAGTAGCTATTCTCTGGGACATTTGAAGTGACATGAATCAAAAAGAATTGCTCTGTAAACTTAAGGCATATTTGGATTTTTCTTTTAGTTAACATTCTGCAACTACCTATTATCTCAAGTGTTTTCTTTATTGGGCTCAAATAATTTTCTTTATCAGCCTTCACCCTCAGTTAGAGAACATGTATGATCTGTCTATGATTCCTTCCTAGCCAAACTTGTTAAATTTTTTTAGGCAATTAAGAATGGATGAATATTATACCCAAAACTTCTGTGACCGGCTGTGCACAAAGCAAGAATCTCGTGCATGTAACCAGCAAGCATGTCCTATCAACTGTCAGCTTGGAGACTTTGGCCCTTGGTCAGAATGTGACCCATGCATTAAAAAGCAAGTAGGTAGAAAATGTGGTTATGGGTTAAATGCAAATAATTATGCTTAAGAGACCTCTTTGTTTCAGACATTTGACTTTATGGTAATTGATCTGCAAAATGACAGTTCAAGTTAACGAGGGAAATTGGTTATGAATTATAATAGTAGAAGATGGGAGAGGACAAGTTAAAATAAGCAGATCAAAGCAGAAAGGAGTGATCTAGTAGTGTAAATCCATTTATGAGAACTTGCTTCAAAAGTTCCATTGTCATTATTAAAGATGAATTTTCCACATAAATGATAAATTAACCTGTAGAGTCTGTATGTCTGTTTAAGCAGAAGAAAGTCACAGAATCTTTAACTTATCCGTAGCATTCTATATTTTCTAAAGACGAACAATAGTAAGCTCAAATCATCTGTTGAAAAGAGTAAACTGGCAAATCCTAATCAGCAGTGGCTAGAAATGCTCAGGCTGTATCTTACAGATAGTCAGGATCATTTTGAGATTGCTATTAAGAAATCATAGGATCATAGAATCATTTAGGTTGGAAAAGATCTTTAAGATCATCCAGTCCAACCATTAACCTACACTACCAAGTCCACACTAAACCAATCAAGGGTAGACCAGACTAAACCATGTCCCGAAGTGCCACGTCTACCCGTTTTTTGAACACTTGCAGGGATGGTGACTCCACCACCTCTATGGGCAGCCTGTTCCAATGCTTGACTACCCTTTCCGTGAAGAAATTTTTCCTAATTTCCAGCCTAAACCTCCCCTGGTGCAGCTTGAGCCCATTTCCTCTCGTCCTATCGCTAACTACTTGGGAGAAGAGACCAACACCCACCTCACTACAACCTCCTTTCAGGGAGTTGTAGAGAGCGATAAGGTCTCCCCTCAGCCTCCTCTTCTCCAGGCTAAACAACCCCAGTTCCCTCAGCCGCTCCTCATAAGGCCTGTGCTCCAGACCCTTCACCAGCTTCGTTGCCCTTTTCTGGACACACTCCAGCACCTCAATGTCCTTCTTGTATTGAGGGGCCCAAAACTGGACACAGTATTCCAGGTGCAGCCTCACCAGTGCCGAGTACAGGGGAACAATCACCTCCCTGCTCCTGCTGGCCACACTATTCCTGATGCAAGCCAGGATACTGTTGGCCTTCTTGGCCACCTGGGCACACTGCTGGCTCATGTTCAGCCGGGCTGCTACCATTCCCCCAACCTTTATATCCTACACAAAAAATAGGTGGATGTGCTTAATATCTGTGGAACAAAGCCACAGGATGGTGGTTTTTCCTCTTGGACTTGTGTCTGTTGACCGGTGGTGGACTTAGGAGTGAGATGGCAGAGAGGCAACAGGTGAAAAGTCAGGTTCAAGTGAATTTGACGTAAAGAAACCAAGACCTGGCAAATGTAAGGTTGTAGGGAGTGGAGGCGAGCAGAGTGCAGATTGTTTGGGGTAGTCATGTGGCTGGTGAGTCTGAGCTTTGAGGCTGACCATGATAGCAGCTCTGAGTTTCTGTGCGGACGCAGCCTACAGCTCTCCTGCTCAGCTTCAGAAATTCACGCCTGAAAAGCAATCCTGAAACACCTGTCAGACATCATAGGTCTATCTTTATATACGTATATAACTTTCTGATGCCCATGCAGGATGAGGAAGGCATGAAGAAGCTTTTCTAGGCGTGAGATGTGAACCACCCTGTGGGGTTCTCATCCTGTGACTGGGATGGAAAGTATGAGAGCAGAGCAGGGAGAAACAGTGATAGGGTGGGAGACAACAAACAAGCTGCAAGAGCTGAAAGGGGGCATTGCTCTCAATGGAAATGATTTTTTTTGTAATGAATATCCTCTTAAATGGCTGAGTTTCTTACCTACGCATCCATATATAGAACTTTAATTGTATTTATTAACTTTAAATATTGATGCAACACATTTGCTGCTGCAAGCAAAAAGGTACTTTTGTGGACTGTGATCCATTTTTCCCTCCAACCTATAAAGATCACTGCTTGTGACCTTTGTAAATATAAACAACCATCAGAATGAAGGAGGTGACTTCCAAGGTAAGCAAGCTCCCAGTGAGGGGGAGGGATGAAGAGGTGGAAGCTACTACAAACAATATAGTGAGTGTTACGGATCCCAAATGGAGTGCAAGGAAGGGTTATCTTGAGCTTGAAAGCTTTCAGATGGTCTGGTTTGCTCCTTGCACTCTCCCTTCATAGTCAGTCGGTTACTGATTTTTACTAGATATCTTTTGGCATTGTTTGAGTTCAGAGTCTGTCTACAGGGAGGGAAGTAAAAGAAGTCTGCAAGAAATGGTGCTTTTCCAGTGGGGAAAAATTCTTAGAGGAGGAACTGTTCAGTCACATGCAGACAGGTCTCACCAGCAGTCCCTTGAAGTGGAGTGGAAAACATATCTGAAGTGATTTGTCTAGCAGGCTTCAGCTTTGTTATTCTACATGGATGGTATTGACCTGGGGAAAGAAAACCCAGTGAGCTCCAGATTTTGCTCCCCGATCTTCTTTAGTAACAGAAACTTTCAGAAAAACCACTTTCGTCCTCCCCAGTCATCCAGTGCTCCTTAGACAAGAGGCCCCATGTGTGGGCACCAAGCCACCTGATTTGGGGATGGGGATACATGCCACTGTCGGAGTATTTCTATTTCAACAGAGATGATAAAGAACAGGAAAAATCTCTGTAAGCCTGGTCACACACCATTTCCTACTGTACTTTTAAAACTGAAGATACAGGGACTTAACTTTTGATTCCTCCAGTGATGTAGCCCAGGTTGTCAAGCATTTAATCATGTGTGCTCCATCAGGGCTATTGAGGCTCTTGGATTTCAGTTCCCTGCCTGCCTTACCTAGGATGATGGCGCAGTAGGACGTAAGGACAAAAATAACTGATTATTTCCCTCAGGTCTCTGGTTTTGATAAAGCTTCAGTAGCACTGAGGCATGTGTCTCTGCCTGTGGGGGCACTTAGCTACAAAAACAGCTTACACAAACAGCCCTGGTTTTATTTCTTCTGCCTTTCAGTTTCGTGTCCGGACACTCCTGCGACCATCCCAGTTTGGAGGTCAGGACTGTACTGAGCCGCTGGTGGATTCCCGCCCATGCTTCCCAACTAAGCTCTGCAACATAGTGGAACTTGATTGCAAGAATAAATTTCAGTGTGAAAGTGGTAATGATAATCTTCATTGTGTAACTGCTGCATTATTAGATAGTCAAAAGATTAGACACTGAGACAAAAAATATCCAGATGATCCAGATCTTGTATATTCCATGCACAAATTCCAGCGAAAAGGAGCAGGGAGAAAAGTCTACTTAAGGATTTCATATATATTAATAGCAGCTTATATTTGCAGTTTCTTCTGTAACTAAAAATATTTCAGGTGCAATCTTTAGCCTGGGATGTCAGTATGACCATGATAGCTAGACAGTAGCACTGTTCCAATAATATTTCTTTGCACGAATTTTTTATGTACAAACATATCCATAGGGATTGTCTAAACATAAACTCACACTATTTTTATTAAATCTGTGGGTATTTCTTGTTTGCCTCAATTTAAATATACCTGATTAGCTTCAAAATAACTTTATCCACATATCCTTTTGCTAAATCTTTTCAGCTTCAAAGCAAGGCAAAACTGGCAGAACTGAAACAACTGTTTCTTATTGGAATAACCTAGGTATTATACTGCCTCATTGTTAATTCCTACAGCAAGTTCACAGATTTACTAGGGAAAAAGACAGACTGCCCTTTTCTGCATTCAGACATGATGAATCTTTACGTAAAGTTTCTTGCTGCTGCTGTTTCTCTGGTGCAGGTCGCTGTATTGCAAAAAAATTGGAATGTAATGGAGAAAATGACTGCGGGGACAACTCTGATGAAAGAAATTGTGGGAGGAAAAAGACCGTGTGTAACAGAAAGTATGACAGCATCCCAGGTGTGCAGTTAATAGGCAGTGGGTAAGCCAGCTTTACTTATTTTTCACAAACTTGAGGTTGTTATCTCACTAATTTACATAAACAAGATAATTCCCAATTAGCATGTGAGACTATCCCATTAAAACACATAATCTCTCAAATTAAAGTTAACAAGAAATTATAAAAACGCAACCACACCATCAGGTGCGGCCTTGCCCCACCGCATGTGCCAGTCTTGCTCTGCACTGCTGGTGCACTGGAAACAGAGTTGTCAGGGAGCACTGCTGTTTGCCTCACAGCAACCAGAGCACCATGTACGGGCAACTTCCAGCTCAGTTACACCAAGTGCTTCAGAAATTTGGAGGATGTTCCTCTACAGATGATACCAATCATCATCTTTTCCAGGCTACTAATTTAAGCAGTGTAAAACCTAAACATGGGATGCGGTCCCAGGTAGACAAGAATTTTTTATTTGGATTTTGAACTCAGTGCACTCTGGTAACATCACTTATGGTAGAAATGGACAACTGCTTGTTCATTTTTCTAGGCCATTTTTAAGTGTTTCTCTGCTTAAGAGTGTCTGTCTCACACTGACATTGGGATTATCTAGAGGGTTAGGCACTGCTGGAAGGTAGGAAACAGGATTGCTACTACAGCATTTTTCAGGTGAATTCAGCGTGAGTGAGAAGTTCTTGTAGAGGAACTTCTTTAAAAGCAGTAATATAACCCAGATACTCATACCATTTCATTCAAACCCACAAAATCTTCAGTGCAGCTATATACCACTAAATGTTTCAAGTCTATGTGTCTTTCTGGGATTGTTTAATATCTGGAAATAACTTTTTGTTAGATTTCACATTCTGGCAGGAGAGAGCCGAGGGGAAGTCCTTGGCAACTCATTCAATGGAGGACGATGCACAACAGTGAAGCGCAACGAGACAAGAAATTTGTACCGTGTTCCTGCGAACCTGGAGGCTGTCAGCTTTCAGGTATTCTCAAGCAGCAACTCTTACTTGAAAAAACATTGCCATAATCACAATCTAAGTTATGAGCTCAAGTCTTAGGCAGTAACATGTGTTTTAGGACAAGATTTCTCAACCTGGTGAGGCCTGAACGTGGTTCAGCTGACATGTGGAAATGGGATAAATTGAGCAGTCACGCCTTTCAGATCTGTGTTTACTCACTGCATGATACATCAGAGTCAACATGATTGATCTGGGCTTCTCTCCTGCTTCCTCATGGCTGTGGCCATGTCTGTGTTCTGAATTGGTACCAAGGACCTTGCTCCTAACCCTGCCATAGTCTGGCCAGAGGCTTCTTCAAGTCCAAAGCTCATTTCAGCATTGCTGAATCCTCGCAGTACCAATGGCTGTCCTAACTCCAGCTTCCTTCTGGTCACCTGCAGCCTTGGGACACAGTTCTTCTCTGAGCCATTTCAGCCCCTCAGTCCTGCGTGTTCCCTGCCCAGCCCCTCTGAAGAGCAGCAAGGAGACGAGGCAGACACTGAGTCTGGGAGGCAGGAGGACAAGAAGTACACAGTTTGGGGAGGAGTCTTGCAGGACAGGCCAAGGACAAAATGAACATGGCTTGTATCTTATAAAAAATCTGGGAATCACTGATTTTTTTTAGACCTGATATTTTAGACTTTCAGCCACTGATATTTAGAAAATACTCTGAATACCATGGTTAGGGCACAACATCTGGCTGTGCACATATCGGCAGGCCCTGTCTGAAGCTAATAGATACTGCGCTGGGAAGGAAGGAATGCAGGATGTGAAAAAGCTCAACTAATGGATGAAATCTGAACTGCTGATTTTTGCCATGAGTGCTGTGAGGTTTTTAGTGTTACTTCAACAGGAGCAACTGAACAAAGGACATCCTAATATGTTCCATGGAAACTACAATTGGATTGGCCATGACATATAGGTTTTGTCAATAATGGTGAAAAATTACTGTGTGCAGGAATGTTCAATGGGGAAAAACAAGCCTTGGTTTGCCCAGGTCTCTTTAAAGCTGTGTGGTTTATTAAGTTACTGCTGTCCATTTGCAGAACTGTTAAGGTTTGTGAATATCACCTTTGAGAGTGCATCTGTATCTTTTAACATGTAGAGCAGCCTTTGGTATAGAAGGGTCACTGGATCAGGCTTTCTTCTTGGAACTCCAGTGTGTTTTCATGCAAAAGCATATGACTTGGAGAATGGAGGTGGATCGGGGCAATGGACCGCCTCATAACCAAGGTCCTTAGCAGCCCTATTAATTAAACAAGTCTGGAAGAGGGAAAAAATTCAATCTTTCAAGCACCCACAAGGATTTGCCTGAGTTTTGGGAAATGAGTCATTTCTGAACTGATGCTTAAGTTGTCTTGGTGCTTTGCACAACAGCACCACTGAGATTTACCAACTTGATCAGGCAGGTTTGCTCCCAGTTTCTCTCCACCTACACTTCATCCATGATGCAGTATGGGTGCTAACACTGTGAGTACACTCTAAGGCTCTCCTCTAGGAAACCTGTTCATTCCTCTAGGTAGGAATTAAGAAGAAAGGACAGAAAACATCTAGCTCTTTGCCTTGTACAATATAGAAGCCATGGGACTGGGACTTAGTCATAGTGCGGACATAGCATGAAGGTCTGAGAGTCTTTGAAAAGTGTGTTGAAACACTTGTTGAAAGTTATTCCTAAGCTTTGGGGCATGGGGGTGGGGAATTTTATAAGAAAGTGTTACATGTTTTTTTTTTTTTTTTCTTGTATAAATGCCTATATCTAATAGTCTACTTCTTTTCTTGTATTCATCTCACCTATTAACCTTTCTCAGCCTCATCTTTTGTGTTAAGAACAGTTTTTTAGCTTACTGCCATGTCTCAAATAATCAGGCATGTTTCTTCCATAAAAAAAAAATCAAGAATTCATTGCTTAATAGATTTCTGCTTCAGATTATTATTTGGGCAAATGTATTTTGCTTTACTGAATCTCCAGGTAATAGATGAAGAGGATGGTGCAACATCACATTTCTACAGAGATTTAACTTCCCTGAGTGATAGTGCTGATAGGAGTCATTCATCCAGTAGTGGTCATCAAAAGTTTTCTGGTATCCCATTGTTATTCTCAACGAAGTCACGGGCTGCAAGCACATCGTCTTCCTCCTTCAAGAAAGCCATTGAAGCCTCACATGAAAAGGTAATTGAACATTGCCTCCAATTTCTTCCTTTCATTCAAATTCTGTCTGCTCATTTCAGAACTGAGCTACCAAAGGCTACTTTGCTTATCAAGGCATTGGCATTACATTTTTTTTAAAAAACCACTAGAACTACACATTAAAAAGTTCCTCTTCTGATACTACAGGATGTTCCTGGTTGTAACGTACCTTCTGTAATGCAATATGCTTTTCTGGTTTTAGTACAGAAATCATAGGCTTATTCCACTTAAAGCATAGATTTGGCATAGATTTGAGATCATCAGATCAGGTAAACCACTCCTTTCCCTGTCCTAGTTATAGACTAAGAAGGCAGAATGCCATGTAGTAACAGTAACAGACAACTCTAAAAAGAAACGAAGTACACTCAAGAATGTTAAACATATGCATCTATTGGGAATTAATCTACATTAGTTTTTTATTTGGTAACTAACTTACATAGTGGAGTCTTACGGTTGCCAAGATGCACTTGGTCATAAACGTAATCTCAGAAATAACACATCCACAGAAAAGTTTCTGAGAACAGAAACCCCACAAAATTCTGCACCTTTAATGCAGATGAATACTGGGATATAAGATAACCCAGTGGGATATAAGATTATGTACTTTTGTAGTTTAATGGCGGTAAAGGATGGGCTATTGTTTGCAGTTCTGCATGGAAGAGGCCATAGGACTGACCAAAACTAAGGCCTGTTGAAATGCAGGAGTTCTAATAAAATTAGAATGAATCTTTCACAAAAATATCAGTCTTAATATTAAGACTTCCTATGATTCAAGTTTACTGCAGGCCTTGCTAACTTGTCCTAATGGTTAAGTAACTTGACTGCTTAAATAGTCTATAACTTCTGATTTGAATTCAACTATACTGAAGTCCCAGCTACTGGAAAGCTGTTGAGTTTCATTCCCATGTAGATACCTGTATACAGATCAGGCTGTTCTTTTGTACAACTAGTAAGTTTATTTTGGTGGATTGGTGGCTTCTTATTGGCTTAAACCCACATGAAAGCTACTTATGGAAATGTTAATTCATCAGGAAGGTTTTTTGGATGCATGTTGGTTTTCATCCCAGAAACCCACCTGAAATAGCCAATAACTTAGTCTGGTGTTGGCTAAAGATGACACAGCTTAAAATCCCATCTTAGTGGACCCATAGCAGGAGTTCTAACTTGGGTCTTCCTCATGTTGTCTACTGTATCATATGGGAAGTCTCTCTTTTCATCTCTGTCAGTATAAATTTTATTTATGTGTGCTTGTGGATAGATGTATACTTACATATGCTTGAGAGACCTATAAATGAATTTGCAATACTTTCTTAAATAGTGAAAATAGAAAGCTTTTTAGATCACTTAAAGGAGGGGGAACTTACCTGGACTTTGGGAGGTCAGATTCAAACCTATATATTAAACTCTGTGCAGAAGGGTTTCACATGAGCATCCCAGGGTCTCTAGACGGTAGTAGCCCCTTGAAAGGTCATGCATTTTTCCACATCTGCATGGAGAAATATGAAAACGTGATGTTTTTCAAATTTATTTTTGTTTACCAGAAACTTTTTTAGCTATGCTGACTGGTCCTCTTGGTTTCTGATCGTTTAATCATAGAATTGTAGCATCATAGAGTCATAGAACCATAGAATAGTTCGGGTTGGAAAGGATCTTTAAAGGTCACCTAGTCCAAATGCCCTGCAATAAGTAGGGACATCTTCAACTAGATCAGGTTGCTCAGTGCCCTGTCCAAGCTGACCTTGAATGTTTCCAGGGATGGGGCATCTGCCACCTCTCTGCGCAACTTGTTCCAGTGCTTCACCCTGCTCAGCGTAAAAAAGTTCTTCTTTATATCTGGTCTAAATCTACCCTCTTTTAGTTTAAAACCATTACCCCTTGTCCTATTGCTACAGGCCCTGCTAAAAAGTCTGTCCCCACCTTTCTTATAAGCCCCTTTTAAGTACTGAAAGACTGCAATAAGGTCTCTCCAGAGCCTTCTCTTCTCCAGGTTAAACAATACCAACTCTCTCAGCCTGTCCTCATAGGAGAGCTGCTCCATCCCTCTGATAATTTTTGTGGTCCTTCTCTGGACCCGCTCCAACAGGTCCATGTCTTTTCTGTGCTGAGGACTCAAGAGCTGGATGCAGTACTCCAGGTGGGGTCTCACCAGAGCAGAGTAGAGAGGCAGAATCACCTCCCTCGACCTGCTGGCCACGCTTCTTTTGATGCAGCCCAGGATCAGTTGGATTTCTGGGCTGTGAGTGCACATTGCAGGCTCATGGCCAGCTTTTCATCCATCAGTACCCCCAAGTCCTTCTTGGCCAGGCTGCTCGCAAACGCTTATGAAGGGATTGATACCATATTTTATTGATACTGGGTGTTGCCCCGACCCAGGTGTAGGACCTTGCACTTGGCCTTGTTGAACCTCATAAGCTTCACACAGACCCACTTCTTGACCTTGTCCAGATCACTCTGAATGGCATCCTGTCCCTCAGGCACGTGAACCACACCCCTCAGCTTGGTGTTGTCTGCAAACTTGCTGAGAGTGCACTTGATCCCACTGTCTATGCACTGATGAAGATATTAAATAGTACTGGTCCCAGTACAGACCCCTGATGGACACCACTTGTCACTGATCTCCATCTGGACATTGAGCCATTGACCACTACTCTCTGGATGCAACCATCCAGCCAGTTCCTTATCCACTGAACAGTTCATCCATCAAATCCGTATCTCTCCAATTGAGAGAAAAGGATGTTGTGGGGCACCCGTGTCAAAGGCCTTACAGAAGTCCAGATTGATGACATCTGTAGTTCTTCCCTTGTCTACTGATGCAGTCATTGCATCACAGAAAGCCACTGGGTTGGTCAGGCAAGACTTGTCCTTGGTGAAGCCGTGCTGGCTGTCTCAAATCACCTCCTTCTCTTCCATGTGCCCTAGCATAGTTTCTAGGAGGATTTGTTCCATGATGTTCCCAGGCACAGAGGTGAGGCTGACAGGCCGGTAGTTCCCAGGGTGCTCCTTTCTTCCCTTTTTAAAAATGGGCACAATGTTTCCCTTTTTGCAGTCTCCAGGGACTTTACCTGACTGCCATGACTTTTCAAATATCATGGAGAGTGGCTTGGTAACTACAGCAGCCAATTCCCTCAGGACTCTGTGATGCATCTTGTCAGGTCCCATAGACTTCTGTAGGTTCAAGTTCCTCAACCTGATCTTCTGTTACAGTGGGAGGGACTTTGCTCCCCCAGTCCCTGCCTCGAGGTCCATCCACTGAAGAGGTGTGGGAAGAGAGATTGCCAGTGAGTGAAGACTGTGGCAAAAAAAGATGTTGAGTACCTCAGCCTTCTCCTTGTCCATTGTTACCAGTTTGCCAGTCATGTTCATTTGGGGGGTACGCTTCCTTTGACCTTCCTTTTCTGGCTGATACACCTGTAGAAGTACTTCTTATATTCTTTGCATCCCTTGCCAAGTTCAGCTCCAGCTGTGCCTTGGGCTTCCTAACCCCATCACTACACAAGCAGGCAGCATCCCTATAATCTTCCCAGGATAACTGTCCCTGCTTCCACTGCCTGTGCATTTCCTTCTTAACCTTTAGTTTGACCAGCAGTTCTTGACTCATCCATGCTGGTCTCTTGCCTTCCTTTCCTGATTTCTTACACCTGGGGATGATAGAATCGTAGAATTGTTTAGGTTGGAAAAGACCTTTAAGATCATCCAGTCCAACCGTTAAGCTAGCACTGCCAACTCCACCACTAAACCATGCCCCTAAGCAGCACATCTATATGTCTTTCAAATATCTCCAGGGATGGTGACTCAACTACTTCCTGTTCCAATGCTTGATAACCCTTTCCATGAAGAAATTTTTCCTAATACCCAAACTAGACCTCCCCTGGCACAACTTGAGCCCATTTCCTCTCGTCCTATCACTTGCTACTTGAGAAAAGAGACTGACACCCACCTCACTACAACCTCCTTTCAGGTAGTTGTAGAGCATCATATAAGGTCCCCCTTCAGCCTCCTTTTCTCCAGGCTAAACAATCCCAGTTCCCTCAGATGCTCCTTATATGACTTGTGCTCTAGACCCTTCACCAGCTTCTCTGGACACGCTCCAGCACCTCAATGTCCTTCTTGTATTGAGGTGCCCAAAACTGGACACAGTAGTCAAGGTGCGGCCTCACCAGTGCTGAGTACAGGGGGACAATCACCTCCCTGCTCCTGCTGGCCACCCCATTTCTGATACAAGCCAGGATGCTGTTAGCCTTCTTGGCCACCTGGGCACACTGCTGGCTCACGTTCAGCTGGCTGTCAAACAACACCCCCAGGTCCTTTTCCAGCAGGCAGGTTTCCAGCCACTCTTCCCCAAGCCTGTAGTGTTGCATGGGGTTGTTGTGACCCAAGTGCAGGACCCGGCACTTAGCCTTCTTCAACCTCATACAGCTGGCTTTGGCCCATTGATCCAGCCTGTCCAGATCCCTCTGTAGAGCTTTTCTACCCTCAGGCAGATGAACACTCCCATCCAGTTTGGTGTCATCTGCAAACTTACTGAGGGTGTACCTCAGTCCCCTTGTCCAGATCATTGGTAAAGATATGAAACAGAACTGGCCCCAATCCTGAGCCCTGGGGAACACCACTCATGACTGGCTGCTGACTGGATTTAACTCCATTCACCACAGCTCCTTGGGCCCAGCCATCCAGCCAGTCTTTTATCCAGCAAAGAGTACACCCATCCAAGCCATGAGCAACCAGTTTCTCCAGGAGAATGCTGTGGGAAATGGTGTCAAAGGCTTTACTGAAGTCCAGGTAGATTGAGAGCTCCTGTGCTCTATGGAAAACATCCTTAAAGACCATCCTCATGACTTCCCTGGTGTCCTCTGCTTGCATTGTGGTAACGATCTAGGATGGGATTCAGCTTACATATTCATAGGTAACAGCAGTTCCACAGAGATCTGCATCTCAGCTGATCACTGTCCTTTTGTGCTGATGAAGAGAAATTGGGTGGGTTTCTGCATAAATGTCTGTTAACTGAATAGTGCCCTAGTAGGGCTGTGGAGGGAGCCCAGGTGACCACCTCTCAGTCTTGTATGTACTAAATATAAGGAAAGATTCGTGATGTGGACTGGAATATTATGTAACACATTTGATTATAAACTACTTTACTAATCTTGCCCATCCTGCTCCATGTTGTTATTTTTATATACTATTTTCTTCCCCTTTTTGTCAGTGAATTCCCACACTGTGACATCAAAGGACTTCTGAAGGTTTTCTATCAGAATTTGTGCCCATTCCCTTAGTCCATGTTCCTAGTATTTCTGGTAGCAGTTAATTGAGTTGGACTGCTTGAACTACAATTCAAAAACTGACACCACAAAGATAGGAAGCCATCTCCATCCCTGGGGATGTCAGGCAGGGAGAGACATGATTCTGTGGCAACTCTCCTTATGGTATTTGGGATGAAAGATTACTGAATCAGCATGTTTGGGTGAAACCCTGCTTTGTTAGAAAATTTCCAATTAAAACTACTGGTTTCAACATCAGTCCAGCTCAGCTTGTGTTTGGTTACTTCTTGTCAATAAAGTCGTTTGTATAACAAAACTGAACTTAAGTACTCATGTTTGATTTAGACCAGGCTTTCTTTGGGAATAATCACCCCCGATCTACTAATATATTGTACTAATACCTGGTACTCAGGGGTCAAGTTTGTTACAGATACCAGGGTTTAGCACTATGATTAAACATGTGCCCAGAAATGACTGGAGTCTTTGGAATCCAGTTTCCGGCAGAAATCACTGGGTTTTACAACTGTAAGATAAATTGCTAGTAATAAAAGTGCTTAATTGCTAGTAATAAAAGCACTTAAGATACTTCGACTAGCAGAAAATGCAAATGTGAGATGCATGTCAAGCAGAAATTCATATTTAGCATGCAAGTGCATGCTAAAACCAAATAGGGTTTTAGCATCGATATTTGCCAAAGTAGCCTGCAATTTTGTGTGTTATAACTGAAATGTTAGCTGGCACAGCTGAAAATTGAGGATCAGAACCTAAATCACCTGAAAATCCTGAACATGATGTTACCACAGGGTATTTTGGGAGCTGAATATAATCTGGGAATTATTACATACTATTTCTTCCATTCTTATTCTCACTGCAGCAGAAAGCTAAGTATCCTTAGCTTATTTTCCAATGTGCAGATGAGAGCACTGAAATGAGCAGTGCTGTGCAGAACTGAGAGCTGAGGTCCAGCTCGTGTGTTATGTTGCTCAATCCTGGCTGGGAGAACTCACTGTCTAGATGCATCCTTGTGTCTTCTAAGCCAAGTGATCTTGGAGACATAAGTGGAGTAGAGTCAACCTACCAGCAGCAAAATTCAGCAGAAGAACCCATGTATAAATCAGTAACAAATTGTTTTATAATGAATCTTTCCTATCTGCTGGTTCGTCATTGCTCCAGTTTCCTGCCCCTCCTTTTGCTCTTGATCTCTTTGCTTCGGCCTTGTGCCATCAGTTCTCTCTGTCACTTTATGAATTCCTTCTTTCAGTATTTTCTACTCCTCTCCTTTCTATTTAGTTAAACTCTCACATAAACAGCCTCTAACATTGAAAAAATATATGAATTAGCTGTTTCAAAAACATCATTTTTTTCTAAATGTAAGAGATGTTTCCAGTTTTTGAACTTTCTCTTTTTTATTGCCTCTCACATTGACAGCCTGACACTTGAACTCAATGAGATCTTTGTCCCTGTGATTTAGTTTTAGCTGACTGATAAATTGTGAAACTTCATAACAGTGAGTTAGTATCCAAAATACCCACTCACCAGATTAGTTGCAAACGACCTATTGATGCTTCTAAGCTGAATCCTTTCTGCTGAAACTTTTGGTTGTCTTATCAATTGCTGGTGTCTTTGTTATGGTGGGAATCCTTTTGCTTTCTGTTTGGTACGTGCTCAGGGAGTCCTAATTTTTGTTGGAACGCTATTTACTCCCACAATGTCAAGGAGTAATGAGCTTTGTCCTCAAGAACATCACAGGGCTCTTGGAAACTCCAGGGTTAGTTTATTCATGGTTAAAGCAGCATGATACACAAGATTAATTCGTTCTTGCAATGTATGTCAGGACATACTCTTTGCTCCCCTACTTTCTGTAATTAACTACCTATGAAGGTGCTAAGAATCCCCTTGTATTTTTATTTCTAGAATTCCAACTTTATTAGAGTCCATAAAGTCATTTCTGTTGCAAACTTCACAATGAAACAGTCAGATCTGCAACTCTCAGACGTCTTTTTAAAAGCTCTTAACCACTTACCCCTGGAGTACAACTATGCTTTATACAGCAGAATATTTGATGACTTTGGCACTCATTACTACACCTCTGGGAAGCTGGGTGGTTCCTATGACATGCTTTACCAGTACAGCTCTGAGGAACTGAAGAACTCAGGTATGTAGTCTTTAACAGGAAAATATCATTGTTTGTTTACCAGCTTTTCTTATCACTGTTTTTAGGTCTCACACCACATAGTAAGTTCTCCAACAGCAAAAAAACCTTTAGACTTGCATAGACCCAGGAACTACTCACACTGCCTGAATACAGAGCAAGAAGAAATTTTTGCTCTACACTGGCTTGATTTGAAAAGTTCAAGAGGTTCCTTACTTGGTAAACACCATTGTGTTCAGGGAAACCTCTTAAGACCTTCAGATCAAGACCAGGTGCCACCAGAAAAAGGTATGGCAGCATACTTCAGTGTGAGACTGAAGTCTGAGAGGTGTAAGTGGCACTTTTTGGGATACAGTCATTGAAGTTGTTGGTATTGATCAGAAATTACTCTAAAAATATTCCCATGACTGCCAGACTGTCAAAATGAAAAGACAATACCACAAAAGCGGAAATCTAAGGTTAAAAGCTGTGATCTTTAATGCTACTGCTGTAACTTGCATGGCTATGGGAGGGTACCTAAAGGGCATGGTAAGCATGACTGTCCAATGCTGTTTGTACCTGAGGAAGCAGGTGCCTGCAGTAGTGAAGTCTCCAGTAGTAGGTGAGGAGCAGGGAGACCTGTGATGGTTCCCCTTGATGTGGGAGCCTGGGGGTATAGTGCCATCATGTAGCACGATTATGGTGATGAAGCTGCTGCTCTGTGGTATTTCTAGGCCTGACAGTGGATGAATCAAAGGAGTGTGTCCGAAGAGAAACAACAACACGCGTGTTTTTCTTCATAAAGGTGAAGAAAGTCCATACCAGATGCACCACAAACAGGATGACTGTGAAACATGAAGGTGACCATGATGAGAACGGGGCCCACATCCTGTTACTTACCTTGAGAGATACCATTCCCCTCAGCTAGGTGCCCCAGGTGACCTCCCAGCTTTGTTGAACTACAGATGCTCTTCCACCACTGTCACAGGAGCCAATATTTCACTGTTTGTCTCTGAAGCAAGCACTGGAAACATCCTTTTACTTGCGGAAGAAATTATGATGTAGGAGCTCTCTTCCTCTGCTCTGGAGTACCATCACTGGGGATCTGGTGGCACTGGCTTTTCCAATCAGTCACAGATCTGACAAACATTCCCCCTGGCCCTGGGTCCAGGGCTAGGCATGCTGAACTGGGAAATGGGCACAACTAGAAACTTGTGATCATGACTGAGTCCTTGATCTTTAGGGGTTGCTTAGGGCTCACTGAGAGAGTCGGGCAGGAAAAACACACTCCCTGACCTTCCCCTCCCATCTTCCTCATGCCAAGCAGACATCTAGGTGCAGGAGTTCCCTGGCAATGCCAGAAATGTGTTCAGGAACAGCAGAAAGTTGGTGCATTTTCTGCAAGATGGCAAGAGCCATGTTCTGCATCACTAAAACCAGGGATTTCATCACCTCCACCATGTTTTTGTCCTCATTTTATGATCAATTTCTGTTATTCAGGTGTTTACAGCTGGGACTAAAGATCCTGCCATGCAGTGTGTTCTTCTAGAGGAGTCTGCTGTATCCCCTGCATTTTCCACAAGTGTCTTGTGTAGTTCTGAATATCGCCATGGCTGAGGTCTCAGACACTTTCATTTGGAAGACTATGACAGGCTGCTGTCATAGCAGGGATTGTTTTTCTGAGCTTAGACTTCATTCTTCCAAGGGTAGCTTCAAAAAATTAATCTTTGTATATTCTTGTATATCCTCTTACACTTTTTCTTAGAACTCTATTGTTACATCCACTGTCTTTGGAGGCCTTTGTCTGACCATACTGTGATGAAATCCCCTTTCAGGTTCCATTTTGGAGTCAGCTGAACGGTCATTCTCCTTGGTAAAAGGTGGCAGGTCAGAGTTTGCAGCAGCTCTGGCCTGGGAGAAAAAGGGGGCTTTTCCAGAACACCCAGTCTTCACAAACTGGCTGGCATCAACAAAGGACAATCCCGTGGTGATTGACTTTGAGGTAAGAGAAGAACAAGAAAAACAATGAGATGGCAAAGCACTCACCAGTTAGCAGCACTTCAGAGAGCTCTGCAAGTGTTTTGTCTTAAATCAGGATGATGCTGGGTGTGATATGAATGCACATACATATGCGCATAACATAAACATAAAAAACATTTATTAGAACTACTTTTGCATGTTGGTTTATAAGCCACACCAGGCTTATAATGGACATGGACAATTAGAGGAAGAGGGAGGAATGTGAGTGAATTACTCCCACACTAGCAGGAGCTCAGGCATGGGCAGGGGCTAGTTACTGTGCTGGAAGGCAGTGCATGGGGCTGGGAACACTTTTTTCCCTGTGCTTTTGCCCTTGTCAGGCCTGTGTTGCAAGGTATGGCACATAGCTAAACTGAAACAAACCAGCAATCCCCTGGTATCTCTGTCCTGCCCATTTAATGCAGCATGCCAGCACTGTTGAGCATGCACTGAACTGCTGCTCAGCAACAGTGGCAAAGCGCTCGAGACAAACAGCAAAACCTGCCTGAATGCAGCATGCAGTGGTCTTTCTCCCATTGCAGCTGCTGAGCTCCTGAAGGCAGTGCAGGGATGTCTCACATGGCAGGGACTGGGTGTAAGCAAACCCCACATCATCTACAGTGCCCTGAATTTTTAGACATGGTCTCCCGGTTGGTTTTCCACTGGCTTACAGAGCCCTAAATTGGGGAAATAAAAGCAATATGAACAGGATAATATAGATGTATAGCATTGTCATGCTCCTTTAAAGCATCCAATAACTTTCAACCTGCCTGACTCCTGTGTGATATAGCTTCATGTGTAGTCTTTAGTGCCTTTAAAATCCTGCAGCTACCCCCAGTAGGACCCTGCTGTGTCTAGGTAACTGCTTACTGAATGGCTGTCTACCAGGTGTCGTCCATCATAGATTTGGTAAAGAACGTGCCATGTGCTGTGACCAAACGTCGCAACCTGAGAAGAGCCCTGAGAGAATATGCGGGCAGGTTTGATCCTTGCCAGTGTGCCCCATGCCCCAACAATGGCAGGCCTGTGCTTTCCGGGACAGAGTGCCTCTGCCTGTGCCAGGCTGGCACCTACGGCAAAAACTGTGAGACACGAGCTCCGGGTTACAATTCAGGTATTTGGGCTGATACTGTCATAATGTAAATATGGTCCTTCTGGTATGTATTTGTCAAAGATGAACCTGACATAACCTTCTCTTACTAAATCCATAGCACTTCTTACCCCATAGTGATGGTCAGAAAGTACAAGAGTAAAGGTAGGATTAAAAATAAAAAATCAAACTGAATAGGCACGGCTCAAAAGAAATTGTAAGACATGCCAAAAGATTTCTTAGCTACATAATTAAGAATAGGAAATGAGCTGTTCAGCAATACGGATGAAGTTGAGATCAAAGATAATTGATGCAAAAATTAAGAAACCCGTTCCTTAGTTTTTCCTATAGTCTATTATGCTTAAGACTAAATGGCTAATGGAGATAAAAATCGTTGATTACAATGTGGAAGGAAAACTCAGTTGTCTTAAGGAGAGGGAACATAATCATCATTCTTAAGAATTTAAGGAACAATTTAATGCAAACAGGTTTTTGAATGGAATTGACATTAGCGCCATACCTATGGGAAACAGAAGAGGCTTGAAGTATTATATTTATTATTACATACATTTATATTCCAGGACCAAAAGGGAACAGAAGAGAAAGTCACAGAGAAGCTACAGGTCTCATTATCTGACCCTGATAGAGAAATATTTTGAAAGAAATAAACAAGTGAAGATATACAGATAGAGATGCATGTAGAAAGTGTATTGCATGCAGAAAAGAAAGAGCGTGTAAATAATTTTTATGTACGCTACATGGCGGCACAGACAAAATACCCCAGGGGTTAAGAAAAGACAGTAGTGTTTTAGTTTAGCTTGCATGGGAAGTAGATTTGACGTTTAGATGTGGTGTTAGATCTCAGATTTATTTAATAACTCATTAAATACTGAGCTATCTGAAAAGGTGGTCAGCACCATGAAAACTCAAACATCCATGTGTGCAACAGAAGTGGAAAATAAGCTGCTTCTGGGTTTGAATGTTACTTGGAATCAAAACTAGAAAGGAAGATATATTTTAGGTTTTCATGAAGTAGCTGGAATTTGGCTGACCATCTCTTTGGAAAACTTCACATTCGAGGCACAATTTATTCCCTTAACAGTAACAATTTTAAATCCTCTAAAAAATGGCTCTTTTGAATTTACCACTATCCCTCTTGTATGTGGCCTTAAGAGAAATACTCTGTATGGTACAAATCTACCAAAAGATGGGTTTTCTTTTATTTCTTGCAGTTGCTGTAGATGGCCGCTGGGGTTGCTGGTCTGAATGGAGTTCATGTGATGCTTCCTTCAAAACAAGAAGGACCCGGGAGTGTAATAACCCCTCCCCGATGAATGGTGGGAAGCCCTGTGAAGGTGAACGGGAACAGGAGGAGGACTGTTATGTCTCTGTGTTCACAGACAGGTGAGAAGATGGTAGATCAAAAGATCTCTGTAGTCATGGGGCAGAGTTAAGGGGCCCTCCAGAGTGGTTTTGTGACTACCAAGGAGAAATAGCTGACAACTCTCCTGTCTGGACTTCTGTGGTGGGGGCTGGGAGAAGGAAATGTCTGAAAATTTTCGCAACTTGCTTCAAGTTTGGATTTATTAATTATTTATTCCTAGAAAATGGCTGATGAACTACATACTAAAGTATGCCTGTAGATCTCTTATGCTGCTTTGCATGGCTTCTTGTCCAAAGCCATGGAGAACTCATCTGTTTCCATTCATGGGAGTTCATAGTTTCTGTTATTTTAATATCACATCCTCTTGTCTTTGAGGTTTAGCTTTGAACTCAGTCTCAGAGAGAATACCACTGAAACTACCAAGCTTTTCATACTCGTGCTTTGAGTATGTCTGATGTACCAGTTTTGTATGATTTCAACTTAAAATCATAGCCCCAACCCCAAACTGGCTCAATTTCTCACATCTTCAAGAGCTAGGCTTTGTACAGATTCAGTTTTTCTACTGGAACCAAGAGCCAAAGCAGGATTTTCATCATCCCTACCGTAATGACTACAGATGAGATTCTGGAGTGGATAGGACAGGATTAAAAAGAATGGGCTCCACAGTTCTTTTTTACTCATCTCAGTTAGACACCATGGGCCATAAAGCTCCATGCTCACAGAGACCAGCCTCCTTTAACCACTGCACGATGGCAACAGGAGGGGTTTGACTACAATATCTTAAACCCAACCAAATCATGTGGACTCCTTAGAGACTTCCTCCATCTGCTATTCTTTGCCTCTTTTTCTTACTCTATACAAATATTTAATGAGTTTTGTTGATAGAAATCGTAGCCCTGTATCTATACTTTTTAGTGCTCTCACAATCTCCCTCCTATCAACACCTGCAACTTTTGATGTCTACCATCTTTTATTTAACAGAATAAAGTTTTTTCACCATTGGGGGAAAGGGCGGGACACACTCACAGCATTTCTGTTGAAAACTCCTGACATTCTGCCACTGTTATTTGGTGACACCAATGCTTAAGAAACATGCTGCCAACAAATTTTTACTTTTCAGAGGTGCTCCTTGTATAAATGATGATGAAGACAGGAGAGAAGAGGATGTCTTGATTGATGAACCTGAGTCTGGATGCTCCAGGCCAGACCCACCAGAAAATGGCTTTATCAGGGTGAGCATGAAAAATGAGTGATACAGAAGGGTAGTTGTTGCAGAGCTGGGAAATTTTACAACTTCTTTGCTATGTGTGCCTGATACCCAAGCTAGCCACTGTGCTAGTGAGCATGTTGCTGTGTATGTGGCATGCTGTGGGGCTCTAGTCCACCAAAGTCCACCAGCAACTGAAGCAAAGGCAAAGTAAAATCCATTTCAAACAGTGATACTTGAATCCTTCCTTTGTAACCATGACATCAGTTAGTGCAGCTGGACAAACATATTATATAGGTGAGTGGATGACTCCTATTTCAGAGTAGGAAAAGCAAACATTCATTACATCATACAATCAGGCTTTTATCATTGTTTCTTTTGACAATGTCCAGCCTCTTTACCATAGATTTTTGAGGGGCTTTTTTGTTTCTTTTTTGTAGAATGAAAAGAACCAGTATGCTGTGGGGGAAGAAGCAGAAATTGCCTGTGTGAGTGGTCATGTCCTCAGTGGCTATCAATTCCTTTGGTGCCTGCCAGATCAAACCTGGACGCAGCAACTCATTGAATGTCAACGTAAGAAAGAGAAAATTAATTTAGCCCAGAAACAAAATGGAAGTGGAAGAAAAAGACACAAAATAGATTTTAATACAGGTTTTAACAGAAGAATCTGTAATGATATCTGAAAAGATAGCATTTTAAGAAGGTATTTCATGTATTCACATTAGAGATGGCAAAAACATACTGAATCACTACATCATTCCTCTTTCAATTCAGAAGTGTTACCATTATATGCTTTGTAAGGTTATTGTAATATTCAGTGCTTTAGAAAACCCTCAGATGCTGTCAGGTTCTTCTCTTGTCTAGTTTTAAAAATCTTTAACAGAAGGACTCATCTTTTGTTTCCAGACTTAGATCGGTGTCTTTCAGTTGATGACAGTTATGCTGAAGAAAGCGTTCTTAGAGGAATCTGTCTACCACTTTTTATATTAAACAGATGATGTGTCTCTAACCACCACCACCCCCCCCACCGGCTGCCTTGAAAATCCCCCAAATAAATCAATGCCTCAAAGTATTTACAGTTCAATTAAGAATTCAGGATTAGAACTGACCTGGGTTTGCTAACAGGAGAGATTCCAGTAGTCTTCTAGAACTTAGTACGATTTCATTGACTTAGTGATCATTTTGTCAAAAAAATTTACCTGAATACACTTATGACCTTTCTACTGCCATTAATTTTAATTGTTTTGTTAATAGCTTAATTTACAAAGGAAGAATGAAAATATACTGTTAATGCAGTTTATTATTTTTAAACTGTAAAATTAAATTATTAATACTGGCATATATTAGAAACACATTGTAATTATTTAGTTATTGACTGAAAAATATTTTTTAAACTACAACAGTGCACTGAAAATTTCTAGACTTAATTATTTTAAGTATTTATTAGTTTTGAATGTCATTCAAATGTTCAGTGTCATTGAGTGTCTTTATGGTGTGTCAGCTGAAGCATTATGACTTGCTGTAAATATCCACACACCATAAAAACAACAAGAATTACACTTTATTCTTGTTTATTACAGCCTCGGTATGCCTCAAGCCACCAACATCTGACCGTGTCACAATTTCCCCATTTAAGCAACAGTACAACATTGGTGAAACCATGAAGCTGAGCTGCCAACCTGGATTTATAGTCACTGGTCAAACAAAGTATACCTGTGGGAAAGACCTGTCCTGGGTACCTCCTATTTTGAGATCTATTACATGTGAAAAAGGTTAGTATGCCTGCAGATTCTTTACTGTTTCGATACTGCTGTTATTAACAGCACAGTTTATTTTAGCTAGCTAGAACTAGGAGGCAGATGACTGGTTTTAAGACTTATAGCAAATGTTCATTAATTTTGGTTTTACTTTGTGCCTACCACAGTGCCGTATAATTTCAGCCCCAAACTTCTGCATTAAGTTAATTATTTTTGGGTGCAATGTACTGTATGCTTTAATTATGAAACTGAGATACTGAAACTGTTTTCTTAAAAACAAAACAAAACAAACCTCAACTCTATTAACAAGGCTTTATGAAAGCAAAGTAGAGAATGCACTTTATTGAAACTTCAGCTTCTCTTCTTGTACAGAATTTTCCAGTAATTTTTGCAAAGACTGATATGTACTTGTAGAATCCAAACCATGGCAGCTTTTGAAGAGAGAAATATGGGATAAATGGAAATAAATCTGGTTTAGGTTTTATGGCAGGAGTCGAAGATATTTCTGTTCACTTTGTTACTAGTTAGAATAACTCTCACTCTTCTGTTTCAGATGTGCAAATTAAAGTTAGAGGTGCTTGCAATCTAGGACAAAAGCAGGTTGGATCACAGTGTGTTTGTATGTCTCCAGAAGAAGCTTGTGGGTAAGTTAAGTACTTTAATTAGAAAAAGAAAAGATGAAGTTTCTCCACTGATAGACCACGAGTCCATTGTGACACAAAATAGGAAGAGTAGCAAAAGACAACAGCAATTCAGGGCTACTCTCTGTTCAGATATTAGCCAGCTATATGTCTGTATCCATATTACAGACCCATTTATAGCCTATGAAAAAAAAAGGACAATGACGTTAACCAAATGGCACACCATGGCACATCCTTCTAATCTACACTACCATCTGCTACTGGAGATCCCAACTCTTTCTTTTCCTCTCTTTATTCTCCAATTCTATATTTTCACTGTCATCACCTTGATACAATAGGTCATGCACCTTGTGTTTGAGACTCACCTTTTTCAGATGAACATGGTGCAAAATACACTGTATGTTTCAGTCTCCAGAGCATATAAAAATATGTAAGACTTGGATTTACTGTCTCTTTACACAATATGACCTGCACAGACCATTGAGCCTTCAAGTGAATAGAGGGTTATCCTAGAAGATTTTTAGTAAATGACTGGCCAGGGTGGAGGTGTGGTGTGGGGCTGGAGATAGGAAAGATGAGCACAGATTGAATATGAACTGGGCAGTTGTAGGGCCGAGATCCACACACATTCCACCACAAGGCTCCTGTGTGACCACAGGCAAGTCCCTTGGCATGCGATTTATCTCATTCATGTCAATGCCCAAATAACCAGGTACCTTCTCTCTCAAGAGTCCTTGGGTAGAGAAAGAGCATGTTCAGAGGGTGATAGACATTGTCAAAAACACATAGGCCAAATAATCTGAAAACTGGAGAGGTTTTGTTGACTAAAGCTATAAGCTTAGCTCAGGAACATAAACAAGGAGAGCTGTATTGCTCCCTGTCTTTGGGAAATGACTAAGTTCCACAAAATGATGCTGCTTGGAAATGCCTGCACTTGCTGAGAACAAATCCACTCAGGAACCAAGAGCAATACAGAAAGAAACTACAAGCAGCATGGCTGTGTTTGTCTGCCATTGGTACCAAACTAATTCTGCCTCAGAGGCAGACTTGCACACACAGATGCAGGGCTGCATTAACTCAGACAAGCCACCCCAGGGCCTGTGGAAATTTCACATGCCTTGTGGAGGTAACAGCATCTCCTGTTTTCTTGTGCAGGCACATGTCCTTCACCTTCCATCTGTTGGACAGGACCAAAGCTTCCTCATCTCACAGTACTATGCTGTATCAGGTCCAGGTCCTGCAGTAGCTGGGACAGCCTTAGGTCTTTAGACAGATATCCAACCTGGCCATGGCTTTGCAGTATTTCATCCAATGCTGGTGGAGCGTTTAGAAGCACGGACTTGTTCCACAGCCTGCTAAAATAATTTTTCTTTTTCCCTTGGGGCAGCCACTATTCAGAAGACATCTGTGTGCTACATGCTGTTTCTGAACAGAATGTGACCAAGCCCAGCTGTCAGTATTCAGCTGAAATGTGCCTTGGAGAGCAGTCATTTCATTTCTTGCATGCTGGCCCTTGTCATGGTGATTCCAACGTAGACTGGGCTATTGAAAGGGCAAAGCTCTCTACAAATAGCTTGAAGAAAGTGCCCTGTGGCTATGACACCTGCTATGACTGGGAGGAGTGTTCAGGTATGACTTCTGAATGGTAGGATTTATCCAGCTCTTTGGATCTAAAAATAAAATGTGCTGACATCTTCACTGCTCCAAGAATGGGATTTACAGGCATTGTGGTCCATCTGAGCTATTTATGGTGCAAGGAGTGTGGAAGTGTAGTCAGTCCTGTGTCCTTGCTACCAAGTGTTACACTTAGATATGTGCTTTTTCCCTTGGGCACAAGTGGTGTAGCATTGCCACTTGCCATTAGTATAAGTCACAAAAGGAACTTGGAGATTAAGGAACTTTTTCAGGAGAATTAACATTTGAACCTTTAATCACAAAGATGTAGTCAGCAATGTCAGCACCCATTTCCTGTGAGGCTACCAGAACCACTAGTTTGTACTTGAGGAATTAATTTGGGCCACACCCTCTATAGCATATAATTAAATTATGAAATTAAATCACAATACTACTTAAAAAGCAAGACTGGGTCCATCAGGCTTAATGGGATTTTAATGTTAAAATTTGCAAATACCCATATGTGAAAACTGTGTTTATTAAGAGTTTTAATGAACTAGCGAAGCTGGTGAAATCCCTGAGAGGATTATTTTATAAACACTGTTGTGCAACTTGGCTATTTACTGTGTAACTTGGTGATAAGAGAAGTGGGTTTTCCTGTAAATGTCTGAGGTGCTGGCTGGCTCCGTGCACATCAAGCCCTTGCTGGGAAGAGGCTGAGTGGCAGCCATGCTCATTCCTACACTTGCTTCCAGAGACAAATATGATCCTTATCACACCTTGTCTACTTATGATAAATAAAGCAACAGTAGTGTGCAGCAATCCTAAAACCCTGTTTCAAAGATGCAGGATTTCTGCAGCACGGGATTTGAAGTAGGTGGCTGCAATATTACTGCATAAGATGTTGTTCCCTGTGGGGCTGAAGCAGAGGGCATGACCAAGTGTGCCCCTCAAGGACATGCTGTGGTGGAGCCTCTAGGCACCTTGTGCTCCTCAGAAGGTGGTTATAATTTAAAAAAAACTATTTGGCTTATTTATTTCAGAGCCCCTAAGAAGCCTAGTTCTGCTCCCACTGTGGAAATGGCTTAAAGCTGGATCCTGTGCCAGCACCTCCGTGTTTTTCTCTCGAAAGCCTACAGAGGAGCCCTGTTCAGTGAGGAAAAATGAGAGACAGAGGAGAAAAATACATTGAATAAAATATGTTTTCATTGTGGTGCTCAAGAGGTTTGAATTGGACTTTCCTCCTCACCATCTCCACAAAAGTCCTCTTTCTCATGAGTATGCACAAACATTTAGGAAATGGAAGTTTTGGTTTTCCTGAGAACAAGTAGCTGGTATCAACACAGAAGCAGAAGATACTGCAGTACCATGCGAAAGCAGCTAAACAGGAAAACACACATTTTTCATTTATTTTAAGAAAGGGAAGGCAGAAACTTAGTTTCCTGCCTAGGGAATTTCTGGGAAAGAATATAAAGATTCAGAATCTGATTACATCAGAAATGGGTAATGAAATAACTGGCAGGACTGAGCTTTACCACAGGCCAACAGCAGGTAGCTTACCATACATAAAGGGAGCTTTAATGAAATAGGAGCTGACACAATATGGACCTTAAGACTCCATTTCACAGCAACATTGTGTGCAAGGATAATTGGGAACAGAAAGTCAACTTAATATCTTTTTGTTTAGAAGAAAGGTCAGGGAAAGCTAGTGCATAAAAATAGATAGATACTTCATTTCTGCTTCTATATGGGCCACTGCTGCAGAAACTGATATTTAAAGCTGCTTTTGCCTCTATTCCTAACATCCTACCATCTAGTGTATGCACTATAGGTTTTTTGTAACTAATGTATCATGAACGTCGAATACTGTTTTTCCTTGTTGGACTTCAAAATGTTGTCAAACTATAAAATATGTTTTTAGTCATGACATTTGCAGCTAAAATTCCAACATGTTCATTCCCAGAGACACAGACCCAGTGCTCCTGTCTGATGCCTTACCAGTGCCCCAAAGAAGAGAGCCGCCCTCACTGCATCCGAATGGAGTCAACAGGGAGGAAGAGGGCAGTCAGTCATTGCACACTGGCAACGATGAAGTGTGCTGGCATCAAACTGGAAGTGCTGGAGCAGGGAAGCTGCCTGGCATAACCCATCAGCTCTCCTGGCAGCCACCATGATCATCCCACTGCACTCAGGCTGAGCTGTCCTAGGAAAAACTTGGCTGGTTATGAAAGGACAAATAGATCAAAACCAAGGATGAAAAAAAAAAAAATAGAGCTCACTTAACAGATTTTTTGGGACAAGGGTGGCAATTGGCTTTTTTTTTTGGTCTGAAAATGACCTGGGGCATGGGGTACAGGGACTGCTCTCACTGCTGGTAACTCTGTGGATGTGCAGAGGGAGGGAGGGGAGCCGATGGGAAGGGAGGAAGAGGAGCATTGCCTCTGGTATCCCCTGATGCTGGATGAGACTTTTCCTTTCCTCAGCCATTTGTTGCTTTGTCCCTATGCTTGTGACTGCTGTGCACCCTGGTTGTCTCGCTGGCTGAGTACCTGCTGTATCATCTAGGAAGGCAGACCAGGCATTTCAGCATCATTGCACGTTCCTTCTGACACCTAACGGGATCATGAAGGAGGCTACCTGTACGGGCACTCGTGGTACAAATTCAGAGAGCAATACAAAATACTAAAAACCACAAATACGCAATGATTAAGTGAAGTCTTCAAAACCATGTGATTTTTAATCAGAATAACTGGTGGGAGGAGGTGTTTGCTTTCTGGGTTGGTTTGCTGATTTTGAGCCTTAGACGCTGCTGGGGAATTTTTATGGTACCCCCCAAGGTGAGTTAAACACACATTTGTGCTTAAATATAAAAGAAAAATTTAATGAACAATGCTTTTGTCTGAGTTCTACTGCAACACGTGGTTCTACAAGGAGTCTGCAAAGATGCATCACAAGCAGATTCCTTATATACATTTGCACCAGCACCAGTCCTGAGAGCAGTTGTGTTGACCATCTCCACCTGGCCCTGGGTCCATCCTCCAGGCCCAGCTCTGCTGCCCAAAGGAGGCTCCTGAGTGCTCCCATTCCAGGATGGCTACAAGACAATGCTGATGCCGTTTCTTGTTTCATCACTAAAGGAAACTCCACTCCCTTGCAAGGAGTCTTTCTTTCTCTGGCATTTCTGCTTCCAGCCAGTTTAACCCCTTCTTGTAATTGGGTCTTATATGCCAGAATATTCCTCAGTCACAAATTACCACTGCTGAGCAGTTACAATTAGAATTTCCCTTTCAACACTCAGAACTTTATAAAATTGTAGATTAGAAACCTGTCTTCCAAGAAGGGGAAAGCTTAACATCACTATTTTTTACTAGCAGTCAGCAGAACAATGAAAATCAGGAAAAAAAGTGTGAGAAGTGTCCATTGGTGAATAACCTTTCCTATGTATAAATGTCACACCTCGCCAGGGGCTAGGCAGTCACTTGGGAGCTGGGAGTGGGCTGGATGTGAAATGGTTATTTTCCCTCCAAGGAGGTATCAGACCCCTATATTTGGGATGTTGCCAAGCTCCTTAACTCAGCAGCTAGTCTCAACTGGATGGAGCTCAAGGAAAAGAAGCAATTAATCCTGCTGCTAAATACAATAAAGCATTATGTTTTCTTGCTTAAAATAAATAGTAAAAATGATTATAAAAAACTGAGACAGGTTTGCCTTTGTATTTCTATAGCTTTTTCCTTCACCTGAAGATATGTACTAATATTCTGCTGATGGTCCAGGAGAGGGTTGCAAATTTGATTGTCCCCAGATTGTTTTTTAGTGCCCCTATTTCTTCTTGCTGGTTGCTTTCTGTGGGGGAATAATCACTCAAAATGGCTGCATATGCCTTCTGTACCCTCAAGCGATGAAGATTTCTTGTTCCTGACCCTCTAACTTTAATACTAGCTTTTCATTACAGGACTCTGATTCCAGTGTGACTGTCTAGCAATGTTTCTGATAGGAGGAATTTTTTTCCCCTGCCACTTCACACCATGATAAATTGCCAGATGAAGTTATTTCCTGGTAAACAGAAAGCAGCCGAGACCTCCCTGGCTGCCCCCATTTCTCCAGCACCTCTGGTCTCAGTGGTTGTGTGCTGTGTGAGCGCTCACATTAAGACTTGTTGTTTTCTCTTGCTGATGGGGATAACTCCCGTATATTCTGTTTTACAGCTGAGCATGGCATAGAGTGGAGACATCATCTGCCACTAACAAATAAGGTGGTGATTCAGCCATAAACTGAATCCAGAGGAAATCTTCAGCTTGCTGAAATTAGTAGTTTTGCTGTTGGCTTCAGCAGGGTCAGGACTGCACTTGCAAGGACTTCGGGTTTGCTGCTGTGCTGTGTCACAGCAGTCCCCAACCCTCACATCAAAGACTGCAGCTCTTTAATGTTTCCTGCAACATCTATCTTTTTTTTGGATAAGCTCTCCTCTTCTACTGTGGTAACTTATATTAATGATAGAGTTTTCTTGTTCACTGGTGGCAGGAAATGCCTACCCTCCTTTGCCATTGTAAGCTCCACGTAATGTTATCTGGCTTGATGGATCATTGCCTTGGGTCATAAATTATAATTGGGAAAGATGAAGCAAACTTGAACTGAATCTTCCAGGGTAACCAGGGTCACAGAGACCTTACTGATTCTTGAAGGACAGCTTTCTGAGTAATGCAGTTTCTCCACTGCACAGAAAAATCCCATCTATTTCTTCTTAACATCAGAGAGGAGGCATTATCCAAAATGAATATAATGAGCCTTTCCACTGATTCAAAGTTCCATACAACATCCCAGCATATCTAATTTTTCACTAGCATAAGAGTATGTGAAGTCTATGTAGGATGCACTTACCACATTGAGACAGCTGAGGCATGATTCGATGGCTGGACAATTAGCAGCTGCTGTTGCGAGCTTCTGTAAAAATAGTTATTGCAATTGTAACATAGAATGCAAAATTTGACCAAATATAGAAAAGAACTGAATATATATATAGTGTCTGTTATGATGTTTATCCTTATGCAACCTCAGAAAGGGGTAATCCAGAGTTTGCTTCAAGGGTTTGAAGATAAGGCAGATATGTAGGTTTAAATATCAACCACCAAACGTTTGCCAATGAGCCACTGCTTATAGCAATTACTGTTTCCTGTTACAGCTATGAGAGAAAACATGTTGTATTAAATATTTGAGTCCTGATGTCTTTATTTCAGCTGCTAAACATCTCTTAATTTAAGAATTTGGTGCAAAATATGACTGTGACTACTAAATGCAAAGTTGCTAGATGCAGCGTGCACAGTAGAAGATGGGTACCAGAGTTTTTGCCTGTGCCACTTTCCCAATGAGTGATAAACCAGAGGCGATCTGAGCCAGTTTTTTCCCACTGGGTTCCTGCAGAGCTCACTGCTGTCCAACGCACTCCTGAGGTTGCATTCCAGGGAGTGCAGGGATGCATGCCTAGCAGCAGCATAATTTGTGGCATTCATGATAGCTCCAGCTCAACATACTCAGTTTACGTATTTAGAGGAAGAGATCCATCGTGTTACTCCTCACCCAAAGATCCCTGAGCAGTAGGCTTTGGCTAGTTTTTTCAGAAAAGGGAGGATTCAGCTCTATCTGTGACAGAACTGACTCAGCTCTGCTGGTGGAGTGTTATGGGATAAAGATTCTACAAATAAGATTGTTTATAAGTTAAAACTTAACTAGATTTAATAAACCATCTGCTCAGAAGTGTCATTTTGACTATAAGGAGGTCTTTCAACTCGCTTCCAAGGCTGTGTGTTCGTGTGTGGGCAGGTGTGAAGATTTCTGATGTGGAGGGGTTTGGGTAAGCTGATCTTCCTTCCTTGGTTACTGGGAGTGAGATGCCCCTAAAGGTGTATGTCTGCATCCAAGCTAATCATCTTTGGCTGCCCTTTTAGTCAGTGGAGGAGAGAAACAGTCCCTTAGAGGACAGGATTTCTGTTGTCTTATGTAGACATCTAAAACCAGGCTGGGTGAATCATACCCTAAAGGTGTCTGTCTTCCTCTGTTGACTGTGAAGGGAGCTGGGGGGCGACTAGGCCAAATACAAATCTTTATGCTATAGGCGCCTAAAATTGGATGAAATTAATCCTACCTCTTCTATTTAAAAA